CGACGGACTAATAATCAACAATTTGCTTACAGTCGGGAACCCTGTGTCAGCCGGTCCATGAATTCAAACATKTTCTAGCTCTTATCATACATTAATTTCCAATAAGTTTTTTTCCATGAATAAAGAGCTGCATGTTTTTTTGCTGTTCGTCCTTCGATGGCAAAGATGAGCATGACYTCAGCTTCGGGATGATCGGCGACGAAGGGGGGCCAGAAGGTGACAATAAGTCCAATCCGGGACCTGACATGACCTGAAGACTCATTTACATGTAGAACACAAGTGGGTGGGTACTGTAGTTGAAGTGGAGGCAGCTCGGTCCTTGCATACGGCACGTTTTCGGGACTCTGTAGTGTGTCGAATGTCATGATCAGCTGCACGAGCTCCAGTGGTGAGCTTGGTACGTCATCTTGAGCGGTCCATAGCATGTGCCTCCCAGCTGCTGATGTCAATGCTCAGGTTCTTGATAGATGCTTTGAGGCGTCATTAAATCGTTTCTTTTGCCCGAATTGTTTCCCCTGGCTAAGCTCATAGCACAAAAGTTGTTTGGTAGGCGACTGTCAGGCATTTTGACGATGTGCCGCGTTCGACGAGGAAGCCGCACTGGCTTTCTGGGAGGAGTCCTTTATCAAGGTGTTGGAGGAGACGATTTAGCAGTACATGAGCCGATAGCTTATCGGCTATGGAAGGGGGAGATGACTCTTTGGTCATCGCAGGACTGGCGGTTGCACTTCCATTTGTAGATGTGGACAATGCTGGCATCCTTGAACTGTTGTGGAACTTTTGCCATGAAACAGTCGAATAAGCTCCTGAATTATGYCGGGGGATCCTGTACACTTCTGCAGGGATAGCGTCTCATCATGGCGCTTTGCCACAGTTGCTTGACAGCCTTTCTAACTTCTTCTTCAGTGGGGAGACTGTCCAGTTATTGGATGGATTCCACTTTGACCRCTTTGGGAAGTTAGGCTACATCATCGTCGTTGACTGTTGCTGGGGGRTAAKGACGCTGTTGAAGTGTTCCRCCCATCTCTCTGGTATCTCTTTCTTCTCTATCAGCCGCTGGATTCCACCTACATTGAGGAAGGGCAAGAATCAAGACGACTGAGTTCCGTACACAGTCTTCAATGCGTTTGGAGTCATGCGCTTGGAGTAATGGCTATCAGCGTAGACCTAAATTTTTCTTTTTGCTGAACCAGGAGTCCTGCATCTCACRAAATGTATCTTACTAGCTGCTTCTAAACTTTCAGTCTGGCATTTTGGCATTTTGGCAAAAGCATCCTTCTTTGTCTGCTGAGGTTGGTTTGTTCTGGTATGCCCGGAGGGGCTGGTGTTTTTCTGTAAGCAAAGCCTTTTTTCTCGTTTTCGTCGAACCAGTCTTGGTTGCAGCGAGTAGCTGGTCCGAGGTGATCAGGGACGGTTGAACAGATGAAATAGGAGGAGCCAATGATTCCTTCCCAGGTTTTGTGCTTGGTCCCTAATCTGGAATTAAAGTCTCAAAGAAGTATTAGTTTCTCTGACTGCGGGGCTGCTGAAATGAGGAATTCCATTTCTTCGTATGGAACATTTTCTTGATGTCATCTGGTCCGCTCTTGTAGGAGCGTGTAGGCACTTATAAATGTTACCCACCTCTTGTTTCAATCTGCAACTCACGCTCTAAGGGACGGAGCTTGGTGACAATCGTTAAAGAAGGTTTGACATAAAAGTTATTACATTTATGGTTAATGTTATTACATTTATGGTTGGTCTCGATAATTACATTTATGGTTGAAAGTTATTACATTTATGGTGGGGTCGATTATTACATTTATGGTTGACTGTTATTACATTTATGGTGGGTATTACATTTATGGTTGATTTTATTACATTTATGGTGGGTATTACATTTATGGTCGATTATTACATTTATGGGTGATACAGNAGATATCGGTCGTTTATCTAAACTGTAGAGCCTGCTTAGACAATTTCGGGTAGAATGTATACCCTGTTTAAGACAGCAAGGCCAAAAACAATACCCTTGCCAGCGGCACGCCCCCGTATAGCAAATATATGGGAGTAACCCCATACCCCCCCGGATTTAACACCGTAAAAAAGTAGTTAAAACAAATTACTGCGGACGTTTCGGACGTTAATCCTTCGTCTGAGTAAAGAGTACGGTGTTCAATTGGTCTTTTTTGCACAACTGTTTCGTTTAGAAACGACGCAGTTCACAAGAGTTTCCACCACTTTTGACTCTTCATACTTTTTACTCATGACGCCTTACACTGAAGGACAACGCAGGCCTATACAAGCCATGCTCTTTCACAGGGCTCTCCCCTAGGGGCATCAACACTTGAATGGATAGCGATAGAAAGGAGAAAGAAACCAATAACACAAATCTTTAGGGATGACAAGCTGGAAATAACAATTGACGCAACTTTCTTGACATTATACCTTTTACCTAATCGGACTTACAAACGCCCAAACTGAAACTGCTTTATGTACACCGAACTCTATACCTCTCAATAGTAATATATCATCTAAGGGACTGCGCAAAATTATAGGAAAATTCATTGGATGACGAGGGAATTCCGCAATGAATTTCACGAGAAAAACGATATCGCACGAGTCCCGGAATTTTTCGACAACGTGAACCTCGTCACGCGCCCTTCGGAAGCCATTTCGTAGCTGACTATATGATTAAAACGATCACAAATTTATCTGTTAGTGAACGTTTCATCATTTCATTCACTAAGTTAGTTGGTAAGTTTACTGTTTTTCAATCCGKTGYTAAYAAAACGTCTTATTTACTACGGCTAGAAAGCTAATTATGGACTGTTGGCGCTAAAAATCGATGTATTTTACATYACACTATCGAAAACAAGCGAAGATATGTTATTCGCTGTGATTATAGCTGGTCAAAAGGGGATCCACAAGCGAAGAAAATACACTGAAAAATACAATACATTTGTATTTGCAAGTAGTTGGTTTTACAATGATTATTGCATAAGCTTATAGGTAAGTAGTAAGCGATAATTGTTGTTTTCTTCGGCCATTGCGGTGTTTTCCGACGTTTGTTGTTGTTTTTTTATCGAGACGACGTCGCCTTGTAGAGGCAAATGAAAGATGTTTTTTGCGGCTCTTTTCGATGTTGAATAAATTGACTTCCAAGTTTGGTATTTCGTATTCCCCCTCTGGTAATTTGAAACTGGACATGTGAAATAACAGTAGCTTAAAAAGCGAAGCGAGTAAAAAACAACAAAGCGGGGGCTTCCTGACTTTTCATTGAATTCAGCTTTTCAATCCGCTAACAAATATTGGTCGTTTTTATAGAACAGCGATATTATAACAAATCCTGTATATCATTTTTGATTTCTCTATGAAAAGAGCTTCTATTCTTGTTACTTTAAATTGTTATTTGTGAAAGAAATGGAAAGAAAATACGACAAAATCGAAATTCAATCGCGCGGGATCCCTGATTTTTCATTGAATTCAGCTTTGAAGCGTTGGATTCCGCGCTGAATTCTTCACTATGTACGTCACATTTTCGTCATCTCGGACCAATCAGCGCGCGATTTAATTATGTGATATGAGATTCTAATCAGAATGAGGTGGATAAGTTGAGAACCTAGAAGTAGGGGGGAGGCAACGTCTAAAAATTGAACTTTAATTGGAAACTGCAAAATCAACGGTGTCAGATTCAAAAACTTCTCAAGATAAGCGTGCCACGATTTGCAACAACTCTTTATATATATTCACGAATAATAAATAAATAAATTCACAGGGGGAGGGGGTAAGCGTAATTTATTTCGTTTGCGAGGGTAGTAGTAAATGATGTTACCCNACTGATAACTTGGAAAAAATGCTTACATGACAAGACATTATCATTCACTCAAAAAGATATCGGTCGTTTATCTAAACTGTAGAGCCTGCTTAGACAATTTCGGGTAGAATGTATACCCTGTTTAAGACAGCAAGGCCAAAAACAATACCCTTGCCAGCGGCACGCCCCCGTATAGCAAATATATGGGAGTAACCCCATACCCCCCCGGATTTAACACCGTAAAAAAGTAGTTAAAACAAATTACTGCGGACGTTTCGGACGTTAATCCTTCGTCTGAGTAAAGAGTACGGTGCTCAATTGGTCTTTTTTGCACAACTGTTTCGTTTAGAAACSACGCAGTTCACAAGAGTTTCCACCACTTTTGACTCTTCATACTTTTTACTCATGACGCCTTACACTGAAGGACAACGCAGGCCTATACAARCCATGCTCTTTCACAGGGCTCTCCCCTAGGGGCATCAACACTTGAATGGATTAGCGATAGAAAGGAGAAAGAAACCAATAACACAAATCTTTAGGGATGACAAGCTGGAAATAACATTTGACGCAACTTTCTTGACATTATACCTTTTACCTAGCTAATCGGACTTACAAACCATACATGACTCCCAACCTGAAACTGCTTTATGTACACCGAACTCTATACCTCTCAATAGTAATATAGAGCAGAGTCACTTGAACCATGAAATAGAAACTAAATACTTAGTAACTAATAGGCACTATTTAGACACTATCACTGAACCAGAACAGTACAAAGAGATTACTTTGATTGTTATAGTGTTCTCTTGGGTATTGCTTATTAAATCAAATATAGTGTTCTGGTTCAGTGCTAATGACTATTAGGAACTAATAGTGCCTATTAGTTAGTACTTTTTAGTTTTTATTTCATGGTTCATGTGACTTTGCTCTATCATCTAAGGGACTGCGCAATATTAATCAGAATGAGGTGGATAAGTTGGGAACCTAGAAGGACGGGGTAGGCAAGTCTAATTTTATGTGCTTAAAGAGGGTGGCAACGTCTAAAAATTGAACTTTAATTGGAAACTGCAAAATCAACGGTTTCAGATTCGAAAACTTCTCAAGAAAAGCGTGCCACGATTTGCGATAACTCTTTATATATATTCATTCTTTATATATATGTTATCCCCCCCCTCTTCCCTGGCAAGCAATAGATATATTTATTGAATACTTTATAATATACGTTTATTTATAAGCTTTGCTTGTTAAGTCCTGAACTCAAAAGGCTGATTTACACGGCACGATTGTCTCGTGCGATTTGTAGTATACGACTTGAATCGCGCAGTGTAAATTCCCCTACGACTTGTCTACAACAGTCGTACGCAACCTACGACTTGTAGTAGGATTTTGAACAATCGTATACTACAAGTCGTACGCGACAATCGTACCGTGTAAATCGGCCTTATCCGTTTGTAAGTACAATATTGATTGATTGATTTTTTTCTAGAGCACCCTTCCTCCCTGCCACCCCTCCCTCGTTAAAAATGTTTTTTTTTTTTTTGCAGACAACCACTTTCTATTTTACTGGTGGTATTCAACCAGTCCAATGCTGCAGTGTCCACTTGCTTCAAGGCCCCGCCCTAAGCCACGCCTAGTCAATTGGTAACCTTGGCTCTCTCCTCTTCATCAACAAGCGAGACATTATAGCAAGCAGCAACTAGCTGAATGACACTGACTGTTTGCTTTAAGAAGCAAATTGGTGCTGTGATCAATGCCATGGATGTGAAGAGATAGAAGGACCTTCCTGCAATCATAGCTATAGAGATAGGATAGAATTAATGAGAAACGAATATAAGGGGTGTGTATATGTTACAAACAATAACCACAAAATGTGAGTTAAAATCGAAATTGGACTTAAATATTGTAATTAAACACTTGAATAAAACAATGCATTGCATGGGTTTCCTGTGTGAAGAGGGAGAATGGGGCAATGAGAGGTCACTTACCTGTGGGACCTGGGGTAAAGTGTATTAGGTACAGCGTGCAGAAGAACAACTCATTGCCTGCACAGAATATGAACAGCACAACCTAGGATAAGAAAATGTTGATATGATACAGTGTGACATTATCCCCATAATCACTTTTTTTTGGTGGCATATCTCACAAATTACAAAAAAAAAAAAAAAAAAAAAAAAAAAAAAAACTACACACAATCACAAAATGTTCATTATAAAACACATTATACAATTGATGTTAATGATATATTACTAACCCCTTTTAGATTTATTATAAAAGTGTTTTCATAGACCTTCTCCAAATGCTTATAACTGACCACAAGCTTGATTCAGATAAGAATAAAACGCATGGTTTGGATCTAATTGGCCATTCCGAAATTCATAAGAAGACTGGGAACGAGTGTTAAAATATTACATTCATCAAAAACTGAACCTCACCACATGAAAGACCACACTAAAATAAGTGTTCTGGTCAAGTTTGAGCATATTTGGTTGAATACTCACCGTGTAGGAATTTTTTCAAATTTGTAAAAATAATAGAGAATGTATGGTTTTTGGGGATGCTGCTCAAGAGCTCCATACATTCTTTGTAATTTTTTCGAGTTTTAAATGCTTAAAACTCTATAATTATTAATCCGAATACTCTCAAACTCTGCAGCTTTATTAATTTTAGTATGCTCTTTCTTGTCCTGGTGTCTGTTTTTTGATTGCTTCAAATGGTATCGAGTTTGTGAAAAGTCACCAGTCCCTTTACTCCAGCGAAGGATTAACATCCGAAACGTCGGTAAGTTTTTCCACATACTTTTTTACGGTGTTAAATTTATCTTTTTACATAACTGTTTCTTTAGAAACACCGACGCAGCTCACACTAGTTTACCGCTAGTCCCACCTTTTTGAACCTCTACTTAATTCAGGCATGTCAGAATTATGCGGGGATGTAGACGCTCAAAAATCGCTTCTAAACATTTGATAGTTTTGTTTTTGTGGGCTTCAGAAATGACCAGGCATTCAAATCTCTTCAGAAAAGAGCCTGGACACTACATACCAGATCACGGGACAAATTCCAAGATTGCGTGCGGGAAGTGAGTAAAGCGCGCAATAACTGAAAAAGTCTAAAAAAAAATTTCCTTTGGTTTGTACTGCCNCTCCTCTTCATCAACAAGCGAGACATTATAGCAAGCAGCAACTAGCTGAATGACACTGACTGTTTGCTTTAAGAAGCAAATTGGTGCTGTGATCAATGCCATGGATGTGAAGAGATAGAAGGACCTTCCTGCAATCATAGCTATATGGATAGGATAGAATTAATAAGAAACAAATTCTAAGGGGTGTGGGGTTAGAATATGAAGGGAAGAACCACATATTAACTTCTATAATAGGCATATATTACATTGTAATTTTAATTTTGTTTAAAAACACTTGAATAAAACAATGCATTGCATGGGTTTCCTGTGTGAAGAGGGAGAATGGGGCAATGAGAGGTCACTTACCTGTGGGACCTGGTGTAAAGTGTATTAGGTACAGCATGCAGAAGAACAGCTCATTGCCTGCACAGAATATGAACAGCACAACCTAGGATAAGAAAATGTTGATATGATACAGTGTGACATTATCCCCATAACCATAATTTTTTGGTGGCATATCTCACTAATTGAAAAAAAAACTACAATCAAAAAATGTTCATTATAAAAGACATTGTACAATTGATGTTAATGGTATATTACTTTTAGACTTATTATTATTAAAAGTGTTTTCATAGACCTTCTCCAAATGCTTATAACTGACCACAAGCTTGATTCAGATAAGAATAAAACACATGGTTTGGATCTAATTGGCCATTCCGAAATTCATAAGAAGACTGGGAACGAGTGTGAAAATATTACATTCTTCGAAAACTGAACCTCACCACATGAAAGACCACACTAAAATAAGTGTTCTTGTCAAGTTTAAGCATATTTGGTTGAATACTCACAGTGTAGGAATTTTTTTTCAAGTTTGTAAAAATAAGAGAGAATGTATGGTTTTGGGGATGCTGCTCAAGAGCCCCATACATTATTTGTAGTTTTTTCGAGTTTTAAATGCTTGAAACTCTGTAATTATTAATCCGAATACTCTCCAACTCAGAAGCTTTACTAATTTTAGTTTGCTCTTTCTTGTCCTGGTGTCTGTTTTTTGATTGCTTCAAATAGTATCGAGTTTGTGACTAGTCACCAGTTCCTTTTTGAACCTCTACTTAATTCAGGCATGTCACAATTATGCGGGGATGCAGGTGTTCAAAAATCGCTTCCAAACATTCCGAATATATATAGTTTTGTTTTGGTGGGCTTCACAAATGACCAGGCATTCAAATCTCTTCAGAAAAGAGCCTGGACACTACATACCAGATCATGGGACAAATTCCAAGATGACGTGCGGGAAGTGAGTAAAGCGCGCAATAACTGAAAAAGTCTAAAAATATATTTCCTTTGGTTTGTACTGCCTTTGATATTTCGTGACTAAGTTTTTACATGATAAACAACAACACAATAACATAAAAATATTTAAAATTTCCCCGAATTTACTTTTTTGTGATGATGTCATGCCACATAATTTTCTGCATAATTTACCCTTTTCTCCACATATAATATTATATGGGGAAAAAATACTGCATAATTTTGATTTTTCCACACAAAACTCTGACATAATCTTTGAATTAGTATTAGTTTTTCTTTTTTTTTTTAGTATTTTTTCTTTTTGCAGCAGAAACAATAAGAATTTACAAGTTCTGTAAAT